GACCCTACCTGTGCACAAATTTCATGTACCAGACCTGTAGTCGGTATATAATATCTATTCAAAAAAGGGAGCAGTAAGTGAAAGTAAATCAGGCATGACAAGAAATAGAGCCAGGGCACAGGTGAGGCAAGTGAGGCACCCTGGGCCCAAAATTTAAGGAAGCACATATAGTCAGGACTCTGAGAATGAGTATTTCTTCAACTTTTATGCCTAAGGCACCTCACTGTTCTCAATCTAGATCAGAACCTTCAGAAAAAAATAGACCATTTCACTTTTCTTTTGAAAGAACTTTGCCTATAAAACCTCAGAACTCTATTGCTATATTGTGTAATAATTTTATAATTAATTGCAGATATAATAAATGGTCTTTGAAGAAATGTCAAGAAATATAGAGTTATACAAGTTAAAAAGTGAGGTTCTCTCAACCGCACAAGTCTATTCTTATGTATATACCCAAGAGAATTGAAAACAAAACTTGTACATGAGGGTGACTTGTGGTACTATTCTTAACAGCCAAAAAATAGAAACAAACCAATTCATAAATAGATAAACAATGTGGTATGTATGTTCATATAATGGCATAGTATTCACCCCTAAAAAGGAATAAAGTTCTGATACATCTACATGGATGAATCTTGAAAACACAGGCTAAGTGACAGAAGGAAGATACAAAGGCCACATATTGCATGACTCTATTTACATGAACTGTCCAAAGAAAGAAAGTGGTTTAGTGGCTGCCAGGGCATATGGGGTGGGAGGAGGGAAATTGGGAGTGACGCCTGAGACATGGGATTTCTGGTTGAGGTGATAAAAACGTTCTGGAACTAGATAGTGAGGATGGCTGCACAACGCTGTGAATATACCAAAAACCACTAAACTGTACATTTTTAATGGTATAGTATAGGACATAGGAAATATATCTCAATAATAATAATTTAAAAGCAAAAAAAAAAAGCAAAGCTCTATCCATCTTTCCTTTTACATCTAGCATTTATAGAATACCTATTATGTACATGGCACATTTGTAAATTTTTTACTTCATTAGCTCATTTAATCCTCAAAACAACCCAGAGGTGTTTTTTAAAGATAAGCTGAGGCATCTAGGGGATTATGTAATTTGCCCAAAACCCTGTAGCTCAGTGGTTCTCAACCTTGGTTGCACATTAGAATCCCAAACTGTGCCACATCTTTGTTATGGGGTGGGGCCACAACATTAGTAACAAAGAAACAGAATTTCCAGAGGATGAGGCCCAGAAATCAGGATTTTAAAAGATTCCCAGGTGATTCTAATGTGCCCCCAAGGTTGAGACCACTGCTGTAGCTAGTGAGTGCCAGAAGGTGGGCTATAAAATCAGTCTGTC